TAATCCTGGAGGACAATGTAAGCCCCATGTTGCTGAGCAGCAATAACTATGTGTATCACCAGAGGGGATAATAGTGTCAAGTGAGACAAACCCAGAAAGTCCAGAAAGGAGAGCCTTCTCTGGAGGTGAGGTCTAGACAAGACTGGCTTGGGAAAACAGAGAAGGAAAACCCTTGACAGGAGCCACTCATTCCAGCTTTTGTCTCTATAGCCCACCCACCCTCGATGGATGAAGTGCGTGAAGGAGACAGGAGACTACTTCCAACCTACCCTGGCAGCCTTGTTTGTTCGTGAGGCCTTCAGCCCGAGCACCCAAAGTGCTGTATGTGAGGGCTCTTCTCAGCCCATGTCCCTTCACTCCCCTCCCACCTAACCATCCACTCCTACTTCTATTGACTTTGCCCTTCTTGATGATATGTGTGGTCGGGGAATCAGGCGGTCATAGAGAGAGGGTTCACTATGAGAGAGAACCCAAAGAAGGACATGCTGCATCCCAAGTGTCTGCACAGTTTAGCTATGGCACAAAGCGTACACAACATGCACTAACTTGGACAAGTCACCCAACTTTCCTGCTTTGTGTTCCTTCAACTATAAAATGAGAAAATTGAACTCCATGACCTCTAAGCCTACTTCCTGTTTATCTATGATTTTTTAAGAACACATGAAACAATGTGAGAATGGAATGATATAATCTTAAGAAGTGCAAATAAATAACTACTGAGTACTTTTTTGAGTGCCTACCATGTGCCTGGTACTCTTGTAAGCACTTTGCATGAACTACTTTAAATCCTAGTATCATCCTCATTTTACAGAAGAGAGAACTGAAGCACAAAGAGGTCAAATAACTTGCCCAAGGTCACACAGCTACCAAATAGCAGAGTTGGGATTTGAACTCAGGCTTCTGATATTGTCATCCCTTTTTCTCCATCGAAAAAAGATATACACAAGATGGTAGATGTCTGGGAAAGCAGTAACTACACAGTCATGTTGTGAAGGTGGGAAGACTGCAGATTGTTGAAAAGCTGAAGAGCCCAGGAAGATGAATAGAGGAAATGCAAGCCTTAAGAAAGAGGGTGTGAGGACAAGGGCCCTCAAGAACAGAGAAGGGAATAATGGTTCTCTTCCTCCCTCTGCCTTCTGAGCTGATTGCCTGGACAAGAGTTGGGACAATGTCTCCCTCCCTCAGGAGGTAGAGATCTCTTCATGGAAAGAAACAGTCTCCCCTGTCTGCCCTCATGAATGATCAGCTCCTACCTTCTCTTTCTGTGCTTGGCACTTCCTTTCTGTCTCTACAGATCTTTGTACTCTGGGTTTTTGGTCACTTAGTAAATATTACTTTCTACTTTCTCTTTCTGAGATCTTCCCCTTCTCTACCAACTCCTCGGGGTCAAGGCCTCTTCCTAGAGGCCCAGTGGGCAGGACCCAAGACTGAGGCTGGCCTTGGTCCTCTTTCTCTATCCCCATCCCCTTACACCCACAGGCCATGGAATTATTCACTGCAATCAAGGATGAGCTCATCACTCACCTCAGAAGGCTTCCGTGGATGGATGAGAAGACCCAGAAAGAGGCCCAGGACAAGGTAAGGCCAGGAGAAAGAGACTATGAGAATAAGTAGGGGGTGGAATTGAGTATGAGATCAAGAGACTACAGTGACTGGAAGAGAGTACAAAAGGCACAAGGGCACACAGCAATTATAGACACCACTGTGTGGTACACACATCTTGGGGACAATATAAAAGGTGGGGACAAGGGCAATGATCAGTAGAAATTCCCTCTGATAAACTCGAGGTAGCTAAGTTCCTTCTACTTTTTGTGTCTTTCCCTAGGTCATCCAACTGCAAGTGAAAATGGGGGCCCCAGAACCGGCCCTGGAGCCAACGCTGGCCGGACAGGAATACAACGATGTGGGTCCTTGCCCTTGCCAGCTCCTCCTTAGTCCTCAACTTCCTCATACCCCTGACCCACCTGAGTTGCAGACAATCCATTTCCCTGGGTGATCCTAACCAACTGCTTCCTTGCCCTGGGGCTGGCTGGGCTTTATGGGTGAAGATCCACACTGTGCATCTTACCGGCAGAAAAATGGAACCTTTTAGGTCACCATGAGTGTGTGTGCACACAGGCGTACATGCATTCTTGTGACTTGCCTGAGTGTGTTTACCTATGTGCTGACATGTGTGAAGGCTGTCTGTACCAATGTGTGGTGTTGTCATTGTGCTAGTTTCCTCTGTACTGGGGATGTCTCTGTGTCATGGCTTATCTGTTTGGGTTCAAATGTACCCCTCAGGGTATGTCAGTGTGCATTGCTATTTGTCTCTGTGTATCCGAGTCGCCCCCTGCCTCCTCCAGATACAAATTGGACCCAGCTACCTGCAGTCCACTCTGAGCTGTGTCCGATCACTCCGAGCTCGAGTTATACAGAGCTTCTTGCAGCCTTCCCCCCACCACAGGTATGAGAGTGAGGGAGACACAGACACTGCATCCCACAGATATCCATCCAAAATTCACAGGAAAGCGAATGGGATCTCAGGGAAACAGAAACAGTGATAGTGGTTGGGAGGGACTGCATATGTCTGGTGAGGGGGGGCAATAAATGATGGAGTTGGTGTTCATATGCCCTTCCCCCAGGTGGCAGGTGCTCCCCTGGGAGATCAATGCTTACTACTCAATATCTGACCATGTGGTGGTCTTCCCTGCTGGACTGCTCCAACCCCCGTTCTTTCACCCTGCCTACCCCAGGTATGGGCCATTCTATGAGGGTGGGAGGAATTTTTGCAAGAGTGATCGACAAATGTTATGATGGATGGGACTTGTGGTTGGAGAATTAGAGTAAAAAACTCTGAAGCATTCTGGGGGTAAGAAACACTCTTGTCTCCCTAGAGCCGTGAACTTTGGTGCTGCTGGCAGCATTATGGCCCATGAGTTGTTGCACATCTTCTACCAGCTCTGTGGGTAACAATGGGCCATTGGGAGTGGGGCCATTGGGAACCCAGGTGAAGGCCCCAAAGGAGGCCTAGAGGAGGAGAAAGGGAGGTTATGTGAGGGCTCATGTGGGACAGTCCTGAAACCTTTGCAATGCTGCTGGGATCCAGTTCTGTCTGTGGTACCCCCATGCCCTCACCCCTGCACCACACGTCACCATCTCATTCCCTTGTCCCATTTTCAACAGTACAACCTGGGGGTTGCCCAGCCTGTGACACCCGTGCCCTACGGGGAGCGCTGCTGTGCCTGGAGCACCTCTATGCTGCCTTTCCATTACCCAGAGGAATCTCCCTCAATGCCTCCTACACCCTCCTGGAGAATGCCATGGACATTGGGGGGCTGGCCATTGCACTGCAGGTAACTCATATCCTATGTGTTAGGATCTATTTTTACCTGCAGAATAGACACCCTGTCCCCAATTTTTCCTTCTACCACCCCTCATGCAAACATCGCAAAGCTTTCTGCCTTTCACATTGCCACTGAACAGATGGCAACTTGGGGATCCCCCTCCTACCCCATAGATCTCTCTATTCTAGGATATCCCTAGTTCTTCTGGCAAGTGCATTTTCACCTGGCTCAGACCTGTGTGTCAGTACAGAACTTGGGGAAAAGGGCCATGAGCTGGTTTTGGGTATTGTGTGTAGGGCATCAGACTTGCAAATGGCCATGGGTCTGGAGCCTAAGGACTACTCTCCATCACACCCCCGTATCCAGGCGTATAGTGAGAGGCTATTATGGCACCGCGGGGAGACCGTCCTGCCCAACCTGAACCTCAGCCCCCAGCAACTCTTCTTCCGAAGCTATGCCCAGGTAGGCAGCCACTACCTCCCACGGCTTGCTCCATGTGAGATAAACATCCCATTGTTAATTCTCATAGAGTCTCTCCTCTCTGAAACATCTTCCTCTAGATGCCCCTAGCTCTCTGCTGCAGATGTCCCGACTGTCATCCTTTCACACATGGCCCCTTGGGACTTTCATACTACTACAAATTCTCCTACCAAATTCAGCACCCCCTTCAAAAAAAAAGAAAACACTACTTCCAAATCCCTCCCTGAGATGAGGCCAACTTTTTTCTTCTCTCATTTCTTCTTCTAGAAATACAGACTGGTTAAAAATGAGCCTTAACAGGCTGTGTGGAGACCACATTCCTCCTCAGAGACCTTGCCCCCAGGTGTGGGCCCCACCTGACATAACCCTCTAAGTGCCATGTGTCCCTCAACAGACATTGCCCCCAATTCCTCAGTGCACTTAAAGACCCCCTTACAGAGTTCTTTCAGCAGACTCCACCTCTCGGTTACTTACAAATGATCTGATTACACGGCCAAGCTCTCCTCCAGACCCTACTGTGAGATTAAATGACCTACAAAGGGCAAATACTCTTTCTCTCTCTGCATGGCCCTTTGTTCCTATCCCTGCTGTCCTCTTTGTTGTCCGTAGTCACCACCTAGTCACCAGGTCTGCCTTGTCCTACTGACTCTAATCTACTCTGCTATTCTTACTTGTATGGACCTCTCTTCCTCCCCAGGTGATGTGTAGGGATCCCAGCACCCAGGATTCTCAAGACACTCACAGCCCTCCCACCCTTCGAGTCAATGGGCCCCTCAGCAACACGCCATCCTTCGCCAGATATTTCCGCTGTCCACATGGTGCCCTCATGAACCCCTCCAGCCGCTGCCAACTCTGGTAACCTGGCTACAAAAGAGACCTCAGTATAGATATATCAACATCGCGCTGCCCCTCCATGGAATCAGGGCGATATCTCCTCTCCCCTTCTGTTCCAAAAATAAAAGCTAGCTCTTGGCTTCTGCCTATCTCTTAATGACTCTTTCCTGCTACATTCTATGTCTAGAAGTCAGAAAAGATAAGAGGAGAAAATGTCACGCAGAGTTTCAGAGATACAAGAAAAAAACCAATGATTGGTGAACTGGTGAGTCTAAAGGTCAGTGGGCCAAAGGTTGGGCTATTAAACAGACTAGTTAGAGACAAGAGGGCTTTGGTTAAGTCTAGGAAAGCTGCCCCCAATTGTTTTCAAGATTTTATTGCTATTACTTTTACTGTTGCTGGCTCCTCCCCCTAATCTGCTGTCCTGAGCAAAGCCAGGAGAAGCGTGGGAGAGAGAAGCGCAGGAGTCTGGTGTCTTTGTCCCTGGGAGATGGAGCTCAGAGCGTGGGGAGGCGGTCAGGTGATGACGATGGGCAATTGAAAGGCCAGATCCAGGATCTCTCTGATGCCGCATCCTGAGATAAAGGGCCACTTGCAAGGGGCAGTTAGCTGTGTGTACGTCTCCGTTGGGAATAGTCACCTGGAGCCCAGTTGGGAGAGAGGATCAGTAAGCTAACATGAAGCGGAGGTAGATATCTAGGTTCTCCTCCAGGAACCAGGCCACCACCTCAGCCTCAATGTCCCTCATAAAAAAACCATGATGCTGGCCAGATTAAAGCAGAAGGCTAGGTCAAATAGGTGGTCACGAACAGTTGCCGTCTCTGATGTCCTGTCCTCCTCTTGCTGGGCCATGTCCACCACCTGCCACATCTCACCCACTGAGGAGGCCACAAAGTGCTCTTCGAACTGCTCTTGAACCTGGTCTGGAACGGGGAGAGGGGAAGGCGCTGAAAGGACTGAGCCTACCCTGCCCTCACCCCTCCCTTGGCCTGCACCAGTAAGGGGAAGAAGTTGGAGAATATGGGGAGAGTTAGGGCCTGGGGCTTTTAGCTCAGCTACCTATATCCTTGTCCTTGACCAGAGAGGTGATGGTCCACCTGGAGGTCTTTTCTGGTCTGTGTGCAACCACCGCCCCAACTCAAGCACACACACACCCCATTTCCAACTCCGACTGCCTCCTCCAAAGTGTTACACCATCTGGGGAGTGAGGGACCACCTTAAAGAAGGATGAAAACCAAAGACTCTCTGCCCAGACAAATGCACCTGTGCCCATACACAGGAAAGCCACATGCAATTTCAACTAGCCCCTGATATGCCCCTGAATGTGGCCCTGGCTAAGAATCCCTGTTCTAGACTCTTTACATGACCCTTTCACACTATAATAATAGGGGACTGGAGTTATCTTAGATCTTAGATTTCACTCTGACCTCATAAGTGATCTGGGCCTAACTGAAAAGAGGTCTGATCCCTAGCCCCACACATTGTCTCCCTCTTCTCTACCTACCTGTAGACGATGTTTTCTCTTTCTGACTCCTCTCGTTGGGGCTTGGGCTCCCTTTCTGAGGCTTCACCTCCTTCACCCGCAGTAGCAGCAGGATGGCTGCCAGGAATGCTGCCCTGCAGAGCTGGGGGCCCAGGGAAGTCATGGGCTTGCCCATCTGCTGCCTCAGTCTTCCCTACTCCCCAGTGCACAGCAGGCTCCCCCCTCCTCCCTCTCCTGTCCCTATCCTGGCCCTTACCCCTTCCCAGCACCCTTCCATTTTCTTCCCTTCCCTTCCACAAGACCTGTGACTTCATGAGCTCTGTGACATCACAACCATGGGACTGACTCTCATTCCAGCTCACTAGAGAGTTCTGTTGCCAGGAAAGGGAGTGGAGAGTAGCCAGCAGGGGACAACAGAGGCTTCTAGGATGACCATAGTGGGTCATCCCTTGGAGAGCAGCAAAAACGACTTGAGTTTGTGAAGTACTTGTGCATCCATTATATCATTAGATCCACACAGCAACCAGGACTCAAAGTAGCAGTTTTATCACACCCATTACATAGATGAGGAAACTGAGGTTCACAGAGGAAATGACTCACCTACTCAAGATCACATAGAATATAATAGACAGAGCATGACTCTTGATTAACTCTCATGATTCTAAATATCATGTCTTCCTACTCTTCCATGCAGCCTTCCTCGGGGAAAGTGGCTTGCAGAGGATGAGGTCCAGACCAGATGTAGAAATGAGGATCCTCAAGTCCTGGGATGTGCATGATCCAAGCAGCTGACAGAGTGACTGAGGAGTGGTACAGGAGGTCACTTGGCAGTAGGGGAGGGAAGAATCAAGTAAGCAGATGACCCTGCTCATCCCCACCTTGCTCTCATTGACCTGCAGGTCCAGGGATTGATGCTTGGGTGGAAAAAATCACTAACCTCCTCCTTGCTCTTTTAGGGGAGGAGCCTCTTGGCTCCCAGCTAAAAGGGAAGCAAGTCATCTCTAGCTCTGGGGTTATGGATGGGGAGGGTGCCTGGCGGTGGGGAGTGTCTTACCAGGCAGGTTGGAATGGAAAGAACCGGGTTGTACTGAACACCATTACTTCCATTTCCACACCACCCACCTGCCCGACTCCCCGTGTTGAAAAAGACAAATCCTTGCAGGAAACCAAGAATCCGTTTAAATTTTTTTTCTTATTACAAATGTATAAAAAAAGTATGAAAAACAAAAAGGGCTAATAATCCCACCACCCAATGAAAATCACTGTTAATGTTTTAAAGTATAGTATTCAAATCCTTTCCCTTTACGGCTGTGGGCATGCGGGGTGGGAGTGTACTTCCTAAAAAGTGATATGCAGCTACTATGTGTGTTCCTCCTCCTTATCACATCAGAATAAGAAGTCTGGCTGCTTTGGCACCAAGGGGCTCTGGGACCTGACAGTGCAGTGAGGTGCTCCCGACCGCTCCTCCTGGACACCTGGGAGGCATTACTGACTCACGCTGGACTTGGAGGCATCATCGGGCTGGCAAGCTGCTACCTGAGGGAGAGAGGTTGTAGGTGTCCTTGCCTGCAGAAAGCTGAAGGAGGATGGAGAAGAATGAGAGGAGAGAAGGGAAAAATAAGTGGTGATGCACAATATGACAAAGATGAAGGAGTGTGAAAAAGAAAGAGAAAAATAAAAGCCAGAGGAGAGAAGAGAAGGGAACTCTTCAAAGACTAAGAAGTAGCTTGTAAATCTCCAGTCGACCAGCTGGGATGGGTGGGACAACTGGGTCCCCCTTGGGCAACTCCTACGTGCCCCTCCCATTGGAGAGGACAGTGCAGGCAGAGAAGGGCAAGTGAGAGTGAGAAGGGCTGAAGACCCAGAGGTGGGGGCCTGCACACTGGGCCCTGCTTTCCTCCTCTGGGACCAGGGACTGTGCCCTTGGTGGCGGAGCCCCTGTGTACCTGCTCTGTGAGGCTCTGACCGGGCCAGCCCCTCCCCGCCCCCACTCCCTCCAGGATTAGCTTTATGGGTTGAGTGTTTCCTCTGCCAGCCCCTGCTTATCAGCGCATCTACAACCCCCACCTCAACCTTATCGCTCTCTCCATCTCCTTATACTGGAAGTCCCAAGGTTTCAGAGGCCATTACCACCCCACACTGCCCCACCCCCCAGCAACACAGAAAAATGTCTCACAAGGTGACCCCCTCCCCCTTCCTAGCTGGCATCTCCCCACACCCTGGGTGAGAGCATGCTTCCTTCTTGTCTAGGCATCTACTCTTCCTTTCCTTACTTGTTTTCCTTTCAATTCTTTTCCTTCACTAAAGGTTATTTTGTAAATCCTTCAGTCTCTAGAGAAGCACTCTCATTCTTACAGTAAAAGAAGGGGAAGTTCCCCTCTCCTGAAGACCCCAAGGGGAAGGGTCCCCAGCCCATCTCCACCCATGTCTCTCACATCTTTATAGGCAGGAGTTTCCCAAGAAGCAACAAGGTCTGGCAGGTGTTTTGGAGCTAAGATTCCAACTTGAAAGCCAGTCCCAGTTTTGCCTCTAGGTGGGTAATCACTCTCCCTCCCTGTGCTCCGTTTTCTTATTTGGAAAACAGAGACCCCTCAGCCTGTTCCCATCTACCTCACAGGTCTATTGAATGACTACAATTAATCATATGTGTATATACATCTTTGGAAACAATCAGGAAGAGGAGTAGAAACTATTTTATCATTAACTAACAAAGCGCTGTCTTGGCTGTACTCATCCCTCCTGCTGTCTCATTCCTGAGAGAGTCCCAAACATGTAATCAAGATTTCTTCATTAGCCACCTCCACTCAGTTCCTGCTGTTCAACCTCTGTGGAAAGGCAGGGCCCACTGGGGGTCACCTCTGACCCGGGGCTCCAAGAAGCTGGAGGGGGAAGAGAAGTCACCACTGGGCTTCTTGTGGAGGAGGGGTGGCCTGGAAATCTCCTGTGAGGCAGGGCTGGAGGGTCTAGGACGAAATTTAACACAGCTTGGAGAAGCAGCTCTGGGGGATTCTGAGCCCATCTCTGGAGGGAGAGTCAACAGTGGCTGAGCTCTTCATGCTTTACCGATGCTTCCATGAGAGTATAGCATTACCCTGATTTTACAGATTAGCAGATAATCTGTAAGGTCACCTTACAGCAAGATGACCACAGCAAGGTCACCTAACTGACTATAAGGGCCGACAGTCAGGATTCGAACCAGGACCTGCCTGACTGAGAGCTGGAGGGCTTTCTTCCCTCTCTCCTGTGTCCCACTGACTGCTCACCTTGCTTGACTCACCTTCCAGGTTCTATCCTTGCTCCCTGTCCAGATTCCTCTGCCCCACCCCTCTGTCTCAGCGCCCTCAGCCCACTGCCTGGAGCTAAGTTCCCTCCCTCTTCCCTTGGGCTCCAGGGCAGGCTCTGTACCCCAGGGCCTTGCTCCAGAAAGGGCTCCTCCCCCTCCAGATAAAGCTCCCTTCTCCTGGTAGGGCCTCCAGTCCCCTCAGTGCAGACACACACACACCACACCCACACACACAAGTCACACAGGAAAAATACTCACTCTCAGTCCCAGCTCCAAACAGACCCCGCCTCCTCCTCAGTCACTGCAGAGTCCTAGACCTGCTTCTTTTACGTTCCCATAACCTGCCAGTGCCTGAAAGGAGAAGACATGGGGGCTCTTCCACCAGAGGCAAAAGGACCCTGGGTCCAACTCCAAACATTTCTGACCTCCTGGCTGGTCAGAGAGCAAGACTGGGATCAGCAGGTGGACGAGGCCCATATGCTGCAGCAGAAGAGGTATGTCGTGCCACATCCCACCCCTCACTGATCCTCAAATCCTCTGACCCACACAGGTCTGTCTCCCTGATAGAGTGCCCCAGAATCCAGTGCCAAGTACTTGGATGTACCCTTCCCCCCAACCCACTTGTTACAAAAACCCAGCTTCCCCTCTGAGTGGTGGTGGGGCTGTGATGTTAGACCACACACGGGGACCTTGAATGTAGATTCAGAGGCAGGGACAGAATGATGACTAAGGCTCTAACCTGCCTGGCTGGTGGAAGAATGGGGTGGACGACTGAAAGTGACCAGAGAGAAGAAGCCAGGGTGTTGTGTTTGGGGGGACAGGCAGATGTAGGCTGGTGGGGAACAGATTGTTGGGGAAGAGATGAGCTCCTGTGAGCTTTAGAAGACTTGTTGGTTGAAGAAAGAGTGAGGAATTACCATTAGTGTGAATGAAAGTTGATAGCATGGGAAAGGGGAGGGGAGCTTTGTTTTGTAAAACTCCTGGATCTGACCAGCTGAGGAGGGAAACTCAGGTGACATTGGAGAGTCCTTAGTTCAGTTCATCTACCCTTTATGAGTCTACTGTGTGCAGCAGTGTGCTAGGAACTGAGGATTCAGAGACTGAATAAGGCTGTGCCTGCTCCTGGGATGCTTTCAGTTCGGGTGGGGCTGGTATGCCTGTGGGCAGATCATTTCATGGCTAGCCCTGAGGTCCAGACCCTGGAAGAGCTGTCAGGGCAGGGACCCATCCTGTAGGCAGGCCTCTGCCTCAGAGTGTTTGGGGGACTTGTCTCCCATCCTAGAGCTGCCTGGGGGATAGAGTGAGCAGATATTAGCATATCTGGGCCTCCACCAGGGCTGGTTTCATGCACAGGTGGACTCCATAGTTGCACAGGGTTCCACGCTTCAGAGGAGCTCTGCACTCTGTTTAATGCACTGCTGTCATCATCTTGAAATTCTTAATAATTTTTGAACTAGGGGTCCTACATTTTCATTTTGCCCTGGGCCTCGCAAGTTGTGTAGGCCCCTGGGTGCAGACTGAGCCCTCATTCAGGAAAGGTTCTCTACTTGCTCACCAACCCCCATCCCAGGCCCTGCAATGAAACCTTTGGCCTCCCTACTTCCCTCCCTGCTTTAGGGTGGGACTAGGGCAGTATCAGAGAGAGACCTAGGTCCCAGACCTCCTCTCTGGAGGGCGGTGGGCTAGAGGCCCAGAGTGCTGGGGCTGTGTGCAGTTCCCTCTGCACAGGGGTGCATTCTGGAATCCTAGCTCTGGCTGCCCTGAGCTAGGTGCATGCAGACTGAGAGTCCAGGTGAGATGGGCAGGGGGCTGGCCCTCACTCTACTGGTCCCTCCTGAGAGTGCTTCTCTAATGGGCAGACCTGAGCTCCGCCTTGAGATAAAAAGCTTCTTCTTTAGATAAAAAACTTCTTCCCCTGCTCATGGCTCACGGGGACATTGGAAGAGAGGAGTTTGGGGCTGGGAGACATCGTGGGAACT